CATCACTGAAATTGCCCTATGTCATTGTTGTGACCAGATCTCTCTCTCCCTTCCTCACCACTTCACCGTGATGCCAAGCAATTTTCTGTTTTAACTGTCATTTTATTTCTTTCGAGGTTCCACACTTAAGACACACTTCTGGTTTCACCTCTGTTATCGTGACAATGTCCCTTGTTTGAATTGAAGGATGGCTAAAGCTTTACCAAAGGGGCTTAACCTTGCCTACCTCTCACCATCAAAGGTGGCGTTGGTCTAACTGCAGTAAGATGAGCTGTTCCTTTAAAAAGGAAAAAAAATCCTCCACAATTCAATTCTACTGCCAAAAGGAGCTTCCAATACCCACCTGACCTGCCACAGAGCCTTTCCATGCGGGATTCAACAGGCATTTTGTGTGCTTATGATTGTGTTACCTCTAGTTAGTCCTTCAGGGATTAAGATGATAATTTTCACAGGATTTTAAGGAAAGATTGTCAAGCCTGTCTACTCAAAGTTTTTCACAAAGTGTTTATCAAGATCTGGCAATAACCTCCAGTTTCATATAGGCACTGAAGATTACAATCTTTGTCAAGAGAAGTTAGGTAAGTTGATATTAACTATTCTAGATCTTGGTGTTTTCACACGTACTTGGAGGAAACCACCTCAGCTGTGTTATTAACGCTCAGTGGAAATGCAGCAAATGAAATGTGTTTTTATTAAATGTATATTTATGGCATTTTATTGCATTCTCACACAAATAAATCTGAACTAAAAATGTAGTTGTAGCAATGTAATGAAGCATGCAGTTGTAACACGGGCATATTTTCACATTAACTTGAAATATTTCTTTAGAGCTGGTGCATGATGGTCTTCTTAAAATGAGAGATGACCTTTAGATGTTGGAACTGAATGAAGGTAAGGAAATTCATACTCAAGGTCTTTCCTTTTTGTATTTCTTTGTTCTCTTAACTTCTGTTCTGCTCCGTTAAGCGTGAAGACATGAGGGAACTACTTGATATCTCATTGAACTCTGTTTGTACAGGAAAAATGGAAACAATTCAAACTTCATGGTTACCTGCCACATTAAAATGAGTTCTACTGAAGCACAGCTAATAAACACATTGGTTTCAAGTTGCTGTTAGCCCAGAGTAACAGAGAGGTATTTAATGAGAGGTATTTAATAAGAGGTCTTCGTGAGTGTATAAAGGTAATCGAACTGGATTAAAATCTCCAGTTCAGAAGTTCAGGGAACTCTGGATCAACAGTTCTAAGTAAAATGAATTCTACTAATATCATTCAGCTTAAAATAAACAGAGGAGGATTATCATATCCAGTAGAGGTGAAGGAGAATTTGTAACCAAATCAGATTAGGAAGGAAAACATTCTCTGAGTCAGTTTATGGGATTTCTCTCTGCTTACAGCTGTGTGGCACCTGTGCCTTCAGTGCCTGTGAGTCTTAGTATGGTTTGAAATGAAAATTGTGATTTTGAGCTGGAGGACAATAAGGGTTTCATATTTGCAATCTGAACATGTATTTCAGTCATCACAGTAGTGTCACTTCAAGAGAGATACGGTTACAAAGTAATAAAGACTTGCCCATGATAAATGAAAATTAGATATCAAATAAGCAGAGCAATGCAAATGTGACATGTATCGTAAGAGTTAATATTACTAATATTCACACTGCTGAGAGATAAGGTATTTCAGGCAACAGTTCTAGGAATTTTTGTCACACACGGCTTTGAAATTTAGACAGCATAAATTTCAGACGGTTAATGCTGGCAACAGATTTTTGGAAGCAGCTAAAAGCTAATGCTTCAAAATTAAATCAGCCTCTTCCAACTGAGGAGCAAAGATGGTCTGTAGTGATGTCCCTAGTATTAGGACTTATCTGCAATTTCTTTTTAAGCATCTTGTACGGGCCAGGGGTAAATCTGGCATTCAGGCAAAACAAACACTCCCATGAATGGAGGATTTTTCATCATTTTATACCAACAATATTCAATATTTCTTTGCTCGAAGTAGAACAAGATTTGTCTTATTACGATCCATCCTTCCAGGTTATATTTGTCTGTTGTCCCAATCCTCAGATGCTTTGCCTGGTTGAGTCTGTAGTGTGTTATGGCCACACTAATGCCTTCTCTGAATTCCTGCTGGAAATCAGCATTGTACGTGGAGAAAACTGTGTGTGTTTGTTAGCATGGAGGAAGAGCTCAGCAGGGAGGACAGCAGGGAACTGACAGTTTAGGTGAGCGAGAAAGCATCTCCAAATATGCAAGGGATGCTACCAAGCCCAGCGTTGCACCTCACTCTATGTTGTTAGTACTTTTACAGCTGTTTTTCCTCTTTCTCTCTCTCATTCAATGCTTTGTAAGATGGTCCTTTTGTGTGTTAATCCTCTTGCCTCTTCTCTGTCTCTTAGGAATGTGCTCTCTCTAGACCCTGCTCTCACCTGCTGATGTTACATGACTTTTCCCTGGCCCACCACTATGAAAAACTCTGAGCCAGTTTAAATAAATCAGTAATAAGTTAGATCTTTGACAGGAAATTATCTACCATCTACGACTTTACTTACAAACCTTTATAAAACAGCTGTGTTTGCCCATCAGTCTGCGAAATGCTTTTATCAAGGATTTCAGTGTTAATCAAAGTGTGATTCACTGGTGACCGAGGAGAGCTCATGTTCCTCAAAGAAGGTCCTGGAAATCAAAATTCCTCACTCTGGATGAGCACTGGCCTTTGATCTATAGAGGCAGGCTGAAAACAGGGTAGGGGATGCCCTCTTCTCCTGCCTCCTGGGTCTATTATTTGCCATGCAGACAAAATCCTTGTGAAGGGCAGAGGTGTGGGGTCTTTCAGGGCTGCAGAGACCCTCCAGCCAACCAGCCCCACACCTCAGGGACAGTACAGTGGCAGCACTTCTGTTGTCCATGTTTTCTGCTGATGTCCCTTGGGTCAGTGAGCACAGAGACAGCACTGGCCTGGTCACACTTGTGTGCAGGGAACAGGTCACGAGGAATGTGCTCAGAGGGTCTGTGGCCCGTCAACACTGAACTATCATCATGAGGCATGACTCATCCAAATGCAAATTTTGCAGAGCCAAGGAGACACTCACTTCTCACAGTACCATCCAAATTCATAATGTTCTGTTCATAAACCAGCACATCAACCCATTTCTGACCTCGAAGACAAAAACCTTCAACAGGAGACTTGATTAACTAGATGCACCAGCCACTTTAGACCCCCTGCTCCAAAACACGTGAAGTTACATACCTCTCTTTACATGATCACCCAACTCCCCATCTCCCAAAGCCTTCTTTCCTCAGCAGCCATGTCCCTGCACCTGTGAAATGTACCAGTTCCTCACACTCAGCTCCACTGAGGCTTATCTCTCACTAACTCCTCTCTAATTCATTCAATCAAACCAAAAAGGGCAAAAAATACAAATCTTGAGCAGAATCCAGAGATGTGGATTAGTTTTATACCTGTCTCCATGTAGACTAAATCACCACTGCTTCCATCACATCAGGATGTGAGCAGGCATGAGTTACCACACTAGTCTCCCCTAAGTACAGAGTCCACATATCAATGAAAAAAAGCTGTTATAAGTCCCAGCAAGCTTCATAACACCAGAGAGTGGAAGTGGGGATAGCCTTACCAGGCAGGGTGTCAGGCCCCATGATTTTCAGGACAGCAATATATTCATGGTCTGTAATCTAGTAGTTTGTCAGATCCCAAATACTGTTGCAAGAAGAGACAAGTTTAGGATTCTTTGGTGCTAGACTGGTCCTTGAGACACTGGACGCTGTCCATGCAAAATTAGTCCAGTTCACAGGGAAGGTGATGGAGTACAAAGTCTGGGGACTGAGATTTGGCCAACACTTTCTCTCTGCCTCAGTCCTGTGCTGAAACCACGGATGAGTCCAGGCTTGGGGCTGAGTAAAAAGGATTAGGCAGATGGGCTGAACAGATAGGATGAACTGCCCAAAAGCTTTCAGAGCTTTGCTTGAATTAGCAGAGCTGGCACTTACACACTTTTGACTCATTAGACAAGCAAATACAGACATTTCAAACATAGAAATACTTGGTATTGTTTCATCATCCCAAGGAAGAGTCTCTTTAGAGCCACTAAGTACAAATTACCACATTTTCAGAATGTGTTAATTCTCTAGTGAGTTCAATATGAGGAATATTTTAAATATGATGATAATAGTTTGCTAATCAAACAGTATTATCTTCAAGATAATGATTTGCTGTGCACTTGCAAGATTAGCTATTCCAAGAGGATATTAAAAATGTGGACTTTTTGTTTGCTAATTTTCATATGGTACCTAATTTTCTGACAATTACAGAGTTATTTGGCGTGTTCCACTACCACAAAAACAGGGGAAACATGAAAAGAAACCTTTTTTTTTTTCCCCTAACCACCTTCAATTACATCTTTGAAATCTGGAAAGGAGCTCATGGTCTGAAAGGTAGAACAGTGTTAATCCTTCCCAAGCAGCTAGAAAAGGCAGTACAGGACAGAACCTGGTGACAATACCTACAGAAATACAAGACTAGGGATGACTGGACGAGCTACATTTCTGCACAAAAGCAGCTCAGTCGATACCTGATCTAAAATTGAACATAAGCAAATTTTATCTTGTTTTAACAGAAAGAATTTAGACACCTGATGTGTCAGTGTCATTTAGGGACATGTCATCCTGACAGAGAAGAAGGTTGTATCAACCAACCTTACCAAGTCCCAAAAAAAGGCACAGCTATGTAGGACTCAAAAATCAAGAGTTACATGCTAAACTCATGACACCCACATGTATATAGAAAATACTGACTGTGGGATTTCTGTTTCTTTGCCATTTGCACCATCAATCTTTCTCTGCATCGCAGGGATCTACTATTTCTCCCATGGTCAAATCATTCTGGGACAAGGGCTGGACAAAATTGCACAACACCACAAACATCACCAAAAGAGCATTTCTCTCTCCTAGATCAGCCAAACCTGCTGGAAGTCAGCATCCATAATGCAGTGGTTCTGCTGGCATGTGGCAGCGAAGATGAGCCTAGGATTTCTGTGTCTTTTTCTGGTTTTCAGCACAGGTAAGGATGATGGTTTGGTGCTCCCTATGGAATAACCCAGGTGTCTCTTTTCCAATTGCTCCCACAGACCCATTCCCACATCTGTGGCAGGCTTGGTTCTTTCACCCTGTGTAAGCAAGGCTGATGGGCTGGAGCTCCAGGGCTGGTCCCATGCAGAAGGGCAGAACAGATTATGTCTATTCTTGGATCTCATGCCAACAATCTGGGATCAAAAAGGCTTATAAGTAAAGAGAGAGAAGGGTTAAAAAAGCTCCTAACACTTAGATTTTCAGTCCAAATTTAGCTCTTACTAAGTGAGAGTTGTTAATACATCTGATTAATACTGAGGAGTCACAATTTACAAGCCCTGGACCACAGATTTCTCCTTTACACACACACACATATATGTGCGTGCGCGCGTGTGTGTGTGTGTATAAAGGGGAGCCTGGATGGATTGAGAAGCTGAAGCTTCAGAGGGACATGGAAGTTCAGCATTTGCTAGCAATCATTTGAAGATCCTTCTACATTACTCTTTGGTGGCATTCATCTCTCCACTGGCGGGATAGGGAACCCCAAATACCTCTTTTCAACCTGTTCTGTGATGTCTAAATCACTGCTCTGCACCTTGGTTGGTCACTGAGCGAACTTGAGAAAGTGAGTCCAATCTCCTGAGCCCAGCTCCAGCTCATTCCTCTTGCAGCACAGCTCTTGAGAACAGTTCTCAGTTTCATGACAGCTCCGAATAACAGACATACACACAGTCTGGGAATATCGGTTTAGATATGGCCTTATTTTACTGTGTACCTTGCAGCAAATGTTGTGTGCAAGCCTAGTGAAGATCTCTACAAAAGTTTACTACTATATTTTTCTTTTGATTCTCGAGGGTCAAGCTCAGACATTTAATCTGTTTTCTTTCCTTAGCTGGCAGCTGAAGGACCTGGCAAGTCCTTTAGTACATCCTTATTCTCAGGCACTCGATGAATGGATGCTTGCTGGCCTGCTCTGCAGTGTTGATGCCCGTCACTTTCTGAGCTCTAATGAGTAAGAGCAGAGAGCTCAACAGAGAGTTGTGTGGTGTCTCAACAGGGAAAACTGTTCCTCTGTCTCTTTCTTCACTTTTCAGCTTCGTGCATAAGAAGAGAAAATAAGAAAGAGAAACAAGTGGCAGTGCTGGCTACTGCAGGTAACAAGTAGCGTGTCAGGAGACGCAGTGTCAGGGTGTTAATGGGAGTGGGAGGTGTTGTGCTGGGCGTGGAGGTGGCAGCAGATGGGCCCTTCTCCTTCAGAGTCTGTGAGCCCAAACCCACCCCTGCTGTAAGGGCACCTCACCCAATCCAGGGTTTACCCCGAGCCCTGGCCCAGGTTAACCACTGCCCTTCCAAAATCTAATCTGCTTTCTCTTTTTCCTTTCTGTCCTTCCCTGCTCTTCATTCACTTTTGTTTCTCCTTTCCTCTCTTCAGTGCTGTGGACAACCACTGATTTTAACCCTAGGGTGCAGCTTGGCTTCAAATTGGTTATAAACAACACTGATTGGAAAATTGTATTTCTCCACAAATTTGATTTTGTTCTCATCTCAGCTTTCTGTGCTTCATTTTCCATCCTGTTCTGCTTTTCCTCTCACTGTCATGCACACACAGACCTTCCTCCTCTCACACAGACACCGACCTGCTCTGCTTTGACGTGACTTTGTGTGAGGGAAGCAAGAGAACATCTTCAGAAATTTTGACTTGGGAAAAACAAATAAGCAACATCGACAGAAACAAAGCAGGATAAAACAAAATGTGTGATTTGGCTGCGGTAAAATTATTCTGTTGTAGAAGTAGAGCCATTGAGGCACCTGAAAAAAAAAATCTGTATTTTTATGTAGGGTTGGGGCAGGGGGAATATTTCCTGGGCAGTTGCTCTGCTGTTTCTAACCTGCAAAGGGAGATCTACTGCTCTTTTGGCAGCAAACACCCATCACCCAGCAGGAGGGGGCACCAGCACACCAGGGCTGGCTGGGTCCTGCAGCTGCTCAAGGGCATGCTCAAGGGCAGAGCTGACAGACCTGAATTTTGGCCCACCATGCACTGCTGCTATATCTTGCTATTTTCCAGACTCCTCTCTGCACTCCTGGAACTTTATTTTTTCATCAGTGTTTTTTTGGTGTGCTCTGGTACATAATCTGCTCATTTTGGTTCTCCCATTCCTGAAGATTTCTACCGTACATAAGCAGGAGATGAGCAGCTGTTTCCTTTCACCTTTATGCACCCCTTTTTTTTCAGAGCTGCCTGCAAAGTCTCTGGACCTGGCTGCTATTAACCTGACGGAGTTGGTGAATGGGATGCTGAGCTCTGCACTCAGAGGTAACGGGACACAGCTGGGGAGGTCACAGCCTGTCAGCCCAGCAGTGTGGCAGATAAAGCACTAACAGCATTAGCAGGAGAAGCTGTAAACATGTGCTGTCTGCCTCCAAAATTGCTTCTAGGAGCATGCTAGCCACACACATTTATAATGGAGGTAGCTGTCTGACCCAAAGAACTAAGAAATTAGTGTGGGTTTATATATAGACACAACATAATTACTTATAGGATGCCTTTAGAAAGTGCTTTATAATCCAGTGTAGGTTTCAACTAAAAAAAAAAAAAAAAAAGAAAGAAGTAATACAACTGATCCTTTTCTCAGTGAAAATGAGAAGGAACTGAGTGTCAGGCAGCTGTATCATATCAGCACCTCAGGAATCCCTTAGACAGTAAATTAGCAGAGTCAAAACATGCTGTTCTCACAATTTGTTCCAACAGCTAATGGCATGGGCATGTGTTTCTGCAGGTACCAAAAAACTGTTCTCTTTGTTGAGTGTCACGTCTTACAGCTCATTCGCCTTCCACAAAGTGTCAGTCACCATTTATAACAGTGAGTGTCTGGTGCTTTGCTCTGCTCAGGGGTGGTTTCTCTCTCATAGCCTGTGCAACAAGATACTCATTTTTTCTCTGTCTCTCCCTACAGTCTCTAATGCAAAAAATGTTGACCCTGGCAAGTTCCCTATGCACTACTGCTACTGTTTGAACAATGTGACAAATGACTTGACAGGTGGGCACACAAGAGAGGTTGGCAATTGCAAGTGTTTAAGCTGAATTATTTTCTTTGGAGTTGAAGGCTGTAGCCTGAATTCTGCAGACTGCATCCTTATGAGTAGCATCACCATACTGAGATCAACAGCCATAACTCATGATGAATGGCTGCTCTGACTCAGTGAGCCAGGTCTCAGGTGGCTGCATCCAGCCAGCCAGTCAGTCTGGGATGGAGCCATCAGTCAAGTGGCTGGAGTGGTTTGCCTGGCAAAAAGACCTGCCTTTCCTCCTCAGAATACAAATTGCAGCACAGGAGAGACAACCACCAATGTATGATACATCACCTTGGCCACTTTTGCTCTCCTGAGATAACCCACAGGAGATAAACAAGGACTTCTCTGTGCCAATGGACTCCAGTAACTTCAAAGACCCCAAGAGAAGTGAAAAGCAAGGCCCAATTTTATACAGCAGTTTGATTGTGATATGCTGTTGGGCAAACCTTTCACCTATAATCATCATTCCCACCCCTGATCTCACAGTATTTAACATTTCGGGATGCATCTGAGCATTTGGATTCCATGACTGGTTAATGTAAGGTATCAAGAGTAGCTCAGCAGCTTGGGACCAGAACCCAAACCCTCTATGCTGCATGTGGTGACCCCACCTATGAGCCACAGTAGCTTTCATGGCTTTTTCTGGACCCACACATCTCACGAGCCTTACTGCATAATGACCCACTCTGCCTTGGACAATAACAGAGAAACTTCAATCTTTCTGCCTCAAATCCAGAATATTTTGGTGATTAGAGCATTCTCCAAAGTAGTAAAAATTAAGGGCTCAACATAGGGCTCATGTCCATCACTCCCTAAGTGAGAACACTGACCTGTTACTGCGAAAAGGCACCACTAGAGCACCAGCAGCCATTTTTCAGGCTAACAACATCATCTTTATGTCTGAGGAGACAGTCTGATGCCTTCTGGGAGATCCTACACGGCAGACAGTCAGCTAGAGCAAGCAAAGCCTGCAGGCTCTAGATCTCCTTCTACACTTAAGCAAATCACATCGAGTATTACTTTAAAATGTTCTCTTGAACAGATAAATTCCATTTAAGTTTACTTTTAAGCACATTGTTGTTATTTTGAATATCACCTTTGAAATATATTTCTGCAGAATATTCTTATGGCTTCTTGAGTCCAGTCCCATCCAGGAAAAACATCGGGAACTTTAAAATATTTTAAACTTTGTCATATATAAGCATATATCCAAAATATCATCATGTGTAAAAGTGAATTTTTGACTCGGCATAGATGATGGACTATATGCTTCAATGGTAAATTCTCTATATTTGTTTTCTAGATTTTACAGCTTTACTTGTTGATGTCATTGGAAACTCCACCAGTTATCTCACAGAAATTTTTAAATCCACTTCTATTCTCTCAGGTTTGAATTTCTTTTTAACATTATCATTATCTTATTTGCCTCATTTACTTCTGGCATGGAAATAAGCATAGAAATGTAGATAAAAGCCTATTGCTCTTACTCAGCAGCAACTTTTTGCAAAGCATGGAACAAGATATATATATAATGTGTGTGTATGTAATATAGAGACACGTTTCTATGAGCAGCTATGTTTTGTTTGAATGTTTGGTTAATAATTACTAAAATCTGGTATTTTTGAGAATCATTATTAAATACCCGTATTTGGGGCAATTATGATTCCCAAGAATAATTATGAGCTATATTATCTGAATAATTTTTTTCCTTACAAAAATATTTGTAATTTAGAATTTTTATTAGATAGAAACATTTTCCCTGAAAATATTAACATGTGGATTTGATGCTGGTTTGAGGTTTTGTCAAAAATCAGATGAGAAGGAAAATATTTGACCAGCTGCCATAACCACATACCATATTTTGTTTGTTTTCTCAACTGTTAAGGATAAGGTCATATCATGAAAAGTGGTAACAATGATCTCTTTTACATTTTTTTGCCTTTCAGTACGTCAGAGCAATGACTCAGATTGTATCTATATCTGTGTGATGACAGGGCAGACAGGTAAAAGTTAAAGCCATTCCACCCCAAAATATTGCCCTGTTTATTCTCAGTGATGACATACTAGAAAAAAAAAAAAGCCTTTCTTGATATTTGTAAGCATTTCTATTTGCAGGGAAAAATCTGTCTGACTTTTGGGAAATATTAGAGAAGTCTCCTGTCATTAATTACACATTTTCCAGTAACACATCATCTGACCTGGGTAAGTACATCCTGGGGTATAAAAGGAAAAAGCAACAACAGCGAAAACCACATCCACGTAGCACTTGCAATGAGTACTCCATCTTCATAGTGTAAAAATACTTTAAATGTTATTTTATATTTTTATTATTGCTATATAAGCAATAATATATTTACACATTTTTATGTATTTTACTATAATTAAAATAAAATTATATTTTATATTATTGTATGTTTAATATAATAATCGTATCATAAATATAAATAAATTTTACAAACTTTTAAGTTATTTGTTACAAGGTCTTCTAGTGGAGGAATAAACGAAGTGTGCTGGGATGAGAGCTTTTACAGAATTCAGCACTGGGCTGGAGAGGGTCCCTAGTGCTCTAATCTTCCTTAGCTCTCAGCACAAATGACCTCCCATGTGAGTTACCTTCAGAAAGCAGTGGAATATGGTCAGTGTGCTGCATGGTTCCTCCACCCAAAGATGCTTTGCCAGGCTGAGCTGCACTTCAGATGCTCACCTCTCACTGCTGCCCATGACTCTCATTTTCAAGGCTTGGTTAAAGTGGGCAGTGAAATCAGTGGCAAGCTACGTGTGCTGAAAGCTGTAGGATCCTTCTCTCCTGTTAAAAATAAAAAAATCAGGTACTTTGGAAAAAATACAAAAAAAGAAAAAAACAAACAAACCTTTAATTAAAAAAAATAACCTGATTTCTTTCCTTTTTATCACAAAATACGTGATGGATGGTGAGTGCTCTAACCCTGCCTTCTCATACCTCAAAGACCTAGAATCGATTTTCTCAAGTTTCGTGAAATTACAGGAAGAGCCAAACAAGACTCTGGATCCATCAGCAGAACATGTGTGGACATTTAAAAGTGAGCACATATTGTCAGAACTAAATTTGTGCCATCCTTGACTAATGTCTTGACAAGTGGTCATGTATGTTTGCTGCACAGCACCGTAATGTTACCTACAATTAGAAAGTAACATAAAAGTTTGTTGGAAATAATAGAAGGTGAGGTCAGTAATGCATTGACTAGCTGGAGGATAGAAAAAATATTGTAAAAAGTAATTTTATTAGAAAAATATGTTTTATAAAGGGACAGAGAAGTAAAGAAAAACCGGTTGTTGACTTCAAACCAAAAACCAAGACTGTTTAAATTGTTTCCTCTTCTTTTTTATTGCAATTTTTCTCTGTATTTGTCTCTGTCTTCCTCTTTATATGACAGTCAGTTGTTTTTACCTGAGTATTGCATAACTTCGGTAGATTTAACTTTGCCACAGGGCTTCAAGATAGCAAAGTGCTGGTGTGCCACATTTTGGAAGCCAAAAAGCAAGGCTTTGCACTTGCTCGCACATAGAAATCAATAGAAATTCAGACCTTGACTTCATAGCTCCTTGTCACTGCAGCTGCATCTCTCTGCTACATTAAAATGTTCTCAGTTAAAATTTTAAACATTATTGGCACTCCCTATGTTTTCATACTTAAAATGAAATGAAAACATGGTCACTCACCTGGTAGAGAAGCACTCAAGGAGTAGATGGGATTTTCTGGGTGTATTTTAGATATTTTTGTTCCTCAGTGTGTTGCACTCTCTGCTGCCTTGGGGCACCAGCGTCCCCAGGGTGCTGGTGCCCTCCCTCTGTCTCTCTTGCTTCTCCAGCCACCAGGATCCCTCTTGCCCAGAAAGGGGAGGAAATCCCCACCACGAGGTTCCCACCATGGCCAAAGACAGCTGGAGCAAAAGGATCGTGGTTTCCATCACCCCATGTGGAAGCTTCCAGATCACAAGGCACAGCTGGATCCCCTCCTACTCCTGGGAGGAGCTCAGTCCCATCCCCAGCCCCACAGCCCAGCCCCAGTGAGTACAGGGAGGAGGACTGGAAGCTGCTTCACCTCACTGGCTGTGGGGTTTGGTGAAATGTCTCTGAGGTGGAGGTTGGGAGGCCCTTCAGGGAGACCCACTGTGGGTCACTAGTGAGTTGATTACTTTATTGCAGAAGTGCTAAAATCAGCTATAGGCAACCAATGTGTAGTTTTTTATCCTTTAGGAAAAAACTCAGTCTTGCTCCTCATGGATGCTTCTGCCACTTGGGTCTTCCCTCATATTTTGCTCCAAATTTGGTGAGCAGACCTGTGGAAAAGCAATATAGAGCTGCTTCTCTTTGTCTCCTCTAAACACACCTTCTTTAAATCCTGCCATTCCGTAGCCCACAGGCTTTTCAAGCTCTAGTCAACTACAGCTTTTGTCCTTCCTATTTCATCTTGACATTTTTATATGTCACTGGCAGCACTGGGTGAGGGACTCTGGCTGTTGAGCTGTCTCATACACAGCAATTCTTCTCAGTAGACAGATAAATAACAAATATGAATGACAGGCAGCGTGTCTCTCTGTTCCCATAGCTGACATGCCCATGTTTTGGATGCAGACAGTGTCTCTACAAGAAACCAGCAAACAGATGCAAACAGAGCCAGGTAAGACTGGTCTGGGATAGCAACAAAGTGTGTCAGTTGGCACATTTGTTAAAGAGAAAGTAATATATAGGAATAAGTGACTGATAATGTATTTATACATGAATGTCTATGTAAGTGTTTATTAGTGAACTGTGACTTCAGTGTTTGTTTTTTTCTTTTCTGTTACTCCTTCAATCAACCTTCCTTTTTGTTTTAAGGTGTCAAAGCAAGTTATATTTGTTTCCTTCCCTCAGATTTACCTTCCTCAGTACTGTCTATGCCACCCTCCTACAGACCTGGTGTGACACTGAAACTTTACTCAGCAACCAGTAAGTAGATGCACCTCATGCAGCAAAAATAGTAGTATGTTTGAAAGTAATGCGAGATGCAAATTTTCCCATGCAGACACAACATACATGTTTAATTTGCTTATGATAGTTTATGTATGTAAACCACCCAAGATGTCCAAGGGACTGCTTCCATAATTGTTTCATACACAATTGCACATTCAAAACATAGATTATACTGTGCTGATAGATGTAACATAGGTACTCTGTGTGCCAATTTTAGTATCGATTAGTTATTGGAGAATCTTAACATTCATTCTGAAAGAAAATATCATGCTTTAAATCTCCTTATTGATACAAGTAAAAAGATGAAGCCAACTCATGCCACATGAAATCTCCAGAATTGTTCTCAATTTCCAATACTGCAAACTACTTCCTCATATAAAGAAAGATCATCAACTAGATATTCATGAAAGCTCAGTTCTTCTTTTTAAGCACCTAAACAGACGGTTAGAAATTAAGAGCTAGAGTAAGATGATGAGTCTTTCCATTTATAAGTCTTATACCTATATTGACAATAAAACTATATTTACAGAGAAGTATTTTGTAAGAAACTACATACTTTGAAAAACTGGACCTGATTCAATGCCAGAAAGACAGGCTGAACTCTGGGAGAGTCCAGCAGCTGCTTTTGATGCTGAGCATGTGTGTGTGTCTGGTTGGTGTGAAAGCTCCTATAGTACAAGATGCTGGGGCAGTGCCTGTGCTCAGCTTGAAAGTAGAAAAGAAAGAATGGTCCCCACTTTTCCAAAAAAAAGCGGGTGGCTCAGTTCCAAATTTTCCCTTCATTAGGACTATGTCCTTCCAGTTTGGCTGCTTAGAGTTGTGATGGAGCTCTGAGCCCCTGGGATGCTCAGGAAAGAGGAAGAGGCTGTTCTTGGTCCCTCCCCATTGAAGTTGACTCTCCTGCTACCTCAAATAAGTGAGAATGTGAGCCTAGCTGGGTGGTGAGGACTGATGGAGGCAATTTTGGAAGTCTTTCTCTCACTTGCTTCTGTTTCTGTGTGATGACTGTCTCAGAAAAGCACAGATGCTGTGTTGAGCAAAGAATATATCGGACTAAACTGCAGGGGTCTTCAATATCCTTTGGATCTACTATTACAGATAAAACCAGAGGAGTCTAAAGAACTAAAATACCAGGCAAAACATATTTTTCAAAAGTCTATTTGAACATCTAGGAAATAAAACCAAGAAAAATTGGTAATATGAATGAGCAAATAAAGACTTGTATAAAGACTCCGAAGGATGGTAGGTGAGAAGAGCAGAAAGAAATGATGATTATATGGTTTGGGATGGATTAACAGGAAATGTGGAAAAAGTGAACTGCGCTGTTCTCATATTGTCAAATGAAATTGTGGGTCTTTGATATGGTTTCCTAATAAATCTGAATAAGAGAAGATTGCTGCCTGTCAAAACAGGAGAGATGAGGTGAAAACTGAGCATCACCAGGCAGGTTTGTGCATAAAGGGAAATCGCAGCCTTGTGGTCGTTCTCTGCTAGTGGAGCTGACCCTGAGCACCAGGGGTGCCACCAGCTCCCTGGATCCATATAGGCAACCTTTGGATCTTCATTTTGGGATTATTTGGAGACTCGAAATGCAAGCTCTGGTCTGGATTCCCTGCTAATCTCACAATTTCTAGTCATATTTGGATTATTGACTTCTCCTGGCTCATTGATGAATTCCAACGTAGCTTTACTTATCTATAAAGGTGTTTTTTGGGGGGTAAACATATGTGACTCAAAGAGAAAGGTTCTTTCACAAATCTTCAGTTTTTCTGTCTCTGGGAATAACTGCACAGTGAGCAATAGTATCTTACAATTTTGGTGTCATTTGCTTCTTCCATTGGTTTTGCTGGTTTTGCCTACTGCAGCAACCCAAGACCAGGATCCTGTGCGGTTACTTGTTTTAGCTTTTGCTGATGTAGATCAGGTTTTTCATAGTCCCATTCTGGTTGTCTAAACTATCAACATATGTTGGGTTTCTTGCCTTTCCCCCCCCCCCATACTATTAGAAAAAAATATTTAAGGGCATTTTACTCAGTGGGTCATCTGTTTTCAGAATTAAGTAGCATTTTCAAGTTAAGAAGATGATGATAAACCCCAAAGTTTGACAACATCATCTAGTGATCATACAAATACAACTTCTGCAGATAGGCAGTGTCAGAGGAGGAGGAAACTATTGCCCAGGAGGCCTGAGAACACTGCAGTAAAAAAACCTATAAACTGAGACTCATTTCCAAGGAAAAGACTCATTGGTGCTGAGCCAAGGAGCAGTTCTTAATGTAAAAGACCCTTCAAACCATGGAGATAGGAAGCCAAATAACTTCAGTTTTCATGGTCATTTTTTTAACTCTGATAATGCTTCTGAATTCTGAAAACTGATGATCTTTCTGTAATTTAAAGATCTCCAAATACCAGAGTATCCTCTTACCCCACATGACATAGACTGGTTGCATGAAGGAAATAAGTCAATGCCATAACACGTGAATATAGTTTGATACTCTTGATAGTGTGAAGAGAAGAATTTAGGATGAACTAGGTCTTCTTAAACTTACTGGGAGCAGAAGAATATGTTACAACAATTCTCATCCATCAAAGATTCTGCAAAAGACCAAAGTTGTCTGTGTGTCTTGTTTGCTTTGGGTGAATTTGAGTTGAGGATTAACCAGCAGCCAGCCAGTTGGAAGTTGCTGGAGTGTGTGACTGGACCTGTGGTGTGCACAGCCCAGAGTTTGTTCATGTGCCCCTGCTGTCAGGTGGGCAACTCTACAGACCCTGGAGAACGTAGGACTGGGAACAGCCCATTTTGAAAAGGTTGGGAAACATGGATTTCAGTGAGATCAGTGCATGGCGAGTCACCAATTGCCTCTCTATCAGAACCATGATGGCAGAGGCTGTCTGCCTGCATCTAGCAATCATGAACTGGGGGAAATAAATCAAACAGTGGGATCACAAAGCAAGGAAGGACATCAACATTGTTCTGGGCGCTGAGACATTATTCCAATAATTCATTTCTTGAATCACGAAAGTTGGTGCCAACTTGTAAAATATGCAAATGTGCATATTAGAGCATGCAGGGAGGGATATTTTAAGTCTGAATCATTTGCAGGAACCATAACGTTGCTTTTCACTGGCAGCAAAATTTAATCTCAGTATCAGAGGGACGTGATATTGAGTTAATAAAGGAACTGTCTGGTTTACTTCAAGAGTTGGTCACTTTTCTGCCTGTGACAGTAATGTGGCAATTTCAAATATGCAGGAGCAAAGCTCTGCACAGCAATCTCTTGTCCCTGCCTTTTCTGGTCTCTTTTGACTGAATCAATTGCTTAGGAAAGAGCATTCTTAGAAAAGAAAATTCTGAAATAATTCCTACTTTTAATTATTTTTTTTATTTCAATCCAAATCTGTATGAGTTTATGAATGGAATACAAAAAATAGATTTCACAGTAGATATGTATTAGAGAAGAAATATAAAACATGACTATGGCTCACTGAAAATTTTAATTTCAATTATATGATGTGAGTATACTATGCATTCAAAAAAATTAAATACTACATGAATTGAAAAAGAACTTCAGCGTTAAATAAATGGAGTATTATGCAAATGCAATGTTAATTTAAAATTAAGATATTGTTAAAAATGAAAACTAGAGCAACTTCCTTAGTTTTTAGCTTTTTTATTTGACTTCTCTTTCCCACACAGATGACTCCAAATTGAAATTGCCATTGTTCAATGTACAGTTAGACAAAGCTGAATTTCTGCTGGAAAAAAAAAAATAGTTTAAGTAAAGCATTTAACACCCATTTGGCAGGATAGGAGTGCCCACATTGGCAGAGGCTGAGATTCGCAGGACAGTAGCCTTTAGGAAGTTTGGATCATTCACATCAACGGTAACATTACTTTTCAGGGGCAACTTACATTGAAACCTTATTGCCTCATGCTTTGATATTTGGTTATTAACATGAAGTATATTTACTATAGCAAGAAATCATTAATTTTTAATTGATGTTGAGTGGAAAAATATCAAAGTGTATCAAATACTATTAAGTGGACAAAACCTAATTGCATTTATGCAAAGTAGCTGAGGTTAAGAGAAATGGGGCTCCCTGGCTAATTACACCTGATATTTGTGTAGTGCCTTTGACACACAACTGGTTTTCAGATGGGCCCGTGAGTTTGGGAGCTGTCAGTGTCTGCCCCTTAATCCTCCATGACTCCTACCTTGAGCAAGCGCTGCCAGAAGAAAAATAGTTTAGTAGCAATCTCTTTCAGGTTGGCAGAGCCTTTATTTTCCTCCTGCCCAAGAATGCCATTTTATATTAAACTTCTTGTCAGCACTAGATGACTCAAGCTTATTTCAACAGAACTTCATTAGTCCAAATTTAACCCCCATAACCTCTGCTATCATATAACATAAGATGGCCCAAAGCTATAAAGTGTGGGAGACATGTGAACCTGGAAATGCAATTACACTGTCTAAGGGGATTATACTCAGCAGGTAAGTCAGTTTATCCACACATGGCCAAAGCCTGCTGCTGGTTACACAAATGGAAAAAACAGTTGACAATCACACAGAGGCCTCTTTTGCACTGCTTGTTCAGCTCTTCCACCCCAATGGGTGCATGTGAAGGGGACACCCATATAATGCAAAATGTGCCTTCTCACAGTCTGGGCCCTGGTTATCTTTTCGGAGCCCCAGGGTGGTGTTTTCAGAGGTGTCCCTTATTTTCAGAGTGCTGGAGTAGAGAAGACGTTCTGGAGCTCATAGCCCATATAAGGTGTTGCAAGAAGTTTAGTGGGCCGAGTATTTGGACAAGTTCAGAGCTGTGTTTTTTCCCCCAGGGTGCCCACAGGCAATCCTCAGAGAGCCCCGTGTGACCTCCCCTCCTGTCACTCTTATAGTGCAGAAGATCAACCCCTGTGTGATGGAGCTCTGTAGGTTCTTTCAGCTGTGCCTCTGTGTTGGTCAGAGAAGATATTCCAGAAAGGAAGCCATGAGGTAAAACCTGGCACTAGTTTCTCTTTCCCTCTCTGCTTTAAATACTCTATCAGATTTTTTTCCAAATGACAATTTTCAATCACTAATGCTTATTTTTGAGAGTCTGTGGCTACTGGCTGAGACCCAAATGGGTCCCAGGGCAATGATCAGTACCTGATCTGGCTTCCTGTATTCAGACTAAGTGAATAAAGCCTGGCTTCATTTTTCCAAATATCTAATGACATCATTGTGGTTGGACTCTAGCTTTTTATTTCCATATTCAATAGTACCAGTGTGGTATACTGTGCTTATAGAATCATATAATGGTTTGGGTTGGAAAGGACCTTAAAGATCATCCAGTTTCAATCCCCCTGACATGGGCAGGGAACATGTTCCAATAGACCAGGTTGCTCAAAGCCTCATCTAGCCTGGCCTTGAACACTTACAAGGATGGGGCATCCACAGCTTCTCTGGAAAACCTGTGCCAGTGCCTCACCACTCTTCAAGTAAAGAATTTCTTCCCAATGTCTAATCTAAACCTGCTCTCATTCAGTTTAGGGTCATTCCCTCTTGTCCTGTCACTACATGACCTTGTGAAAAGTCCCTCTCCTTAATGAAAGATAAGCTACTGCTCTCCTAACTTTAACTATATCTTCAGGTACTGTGTTGAATACTATTCCTGGTTTGTGAAAAATGCAAGTTATGTCTGTGAAAGAGTCAAAAGAGTTACTTACTCCCACAGTAAGTACATTTTCTCTTTGTATCTCTATATCTCTCCACACCTTATTGTGTAAATATAACAAAAAATTTTGCATATCCACAGACTATTTGCTGTCTTTCATCAGATAGCTATTTTATCTGATAACGATTTTTAAGGGATTAAAAAAAAAGGATTATTTGACCTTCATGTATGTTTTTAGTATTTCCTCATAAACCCTCTTCTAACGAATATTTTCTTGTGTTCTTCCAGCCTTAAAGCAAAAATGCCTCAAAAACATCTGTGCATCAGTTTAGAGCATTGAGAAATGATACTGCAAGTTGGAAGACTGCGGCAGTTTTAGTTGTCTTTTTTGATTTCTCAGTGTAAACACCAGAATGCAACATGTTTTTTGCAAATATTTGTAATAAGAAAAGCTATTAACCAGATGTTAACCTAGAAACCTCTCTTCCTCCAAGGCATTGTAAAAATAATGTGTACAAACAGATATATTTTATACAAGTGATGTAACTACAATAAAAGAATTGAAAGGCTTTTAAAAATCTTATTTCATAAAGGGTATTTATGTGGTTGGCCAGTAAATGAAAATAGTTTATACTAGTTTTGTTTACAATTAAGGCATAGTAATCAACATGAACAAATGCAAAATAATTTAAAAGCAGCCTGAAATACTGAAGACAAGGAGGACTTCCCCTAGTGTTAAACACAGGCAGATTATCTTCTAAATCAAGAGTTTCCCAGTACTCAGCAACACATGGATTGCAGAGGTCAACCCAGGAAGTCTTCAGGCCTCTTGTACTTTCACTCTGAGACATATTTGTGTGAGCTCACCAGGATTCATAGAAACAGGGAATCATAAAATTGTTTGGGTCGGAAGAAACCTTGAAGATCATCTACTTTCAATCCCCCTTCCATGGGGATGTCACCCATGAGATCAGGTTGCTCAGGGCCCCATCCAACCTGGTCTTGAACATTTCATGTCCTTCTTTATATGCAAATCTGGTGAACTAAAAGCCAGTTCTATAAAATGAAACAATTACCAAATCAATTGCATGAGCCCATATTTTGCTACCCTGCAGCAATATCATGCTACTATCTCCCCAAAGTGTATCATCAAGCCATTAATATTCTTTTAAATAAGAAGTTTATTTGCACCATATCTGGTGCACATTGATGTTTCACTGAAGAAATATGTATTCAAAGCAAGATAAAGCTGAGGAGAATGGTGACACCATAAGGAATGCTGACCCCAGGGAGAGATGGGATGGCAGGAACCCTCTTTCCAAATACATTTCACGGTTGTACCCATGACAGAAGCATTTCTGTCATGTCAAAGAGCAAGATATATTGGAGTAGTACCAATTACAGTTCATATTGAAAGGCTTATGGAATAAGTAGGAATGTCAATACACTGGGAATGTTAGTATGGCTGTGGTACTGTGATGCTGTGGGAGATATCGCTCTGCAGTAGCTCTCTCAGTGTGTGCCCACTGCCTCTTGTCATGGGAGGCTCTTGTCAGAGACTGGCTCTGTCCTCTTTGTACCTCCCCTCAGGTGTTCATGGGCATTGATGAGGTCCCACTGTGACTTCTCTAATGAAGAGTCTCAGCTCTCTTGTTGTCCTGGTTAGAACGGCTGGGACCAATTCATCCCTGAATGGGTGTAACCCAAAACTGTGTATTCTATAGCCTCCATGCCATTTCCCAAAAACTGCTGTCAGTAGAGGCCTGCAAGGTGGGAAGATGTTCCTGTACCCTTTTATGGAATTCCCCACTCTGATATCCTTATGTGGAATTCCCCGCTCTGATACCCTTATATGGAAGAGGGACTGAGCATCCGCATGCCCTTTTATGGAATTCCCTACTCTGAGGGAGGGACTGAGCACTCCCGCCTGAACTGGAGAGTATATAACTGGGAGTTTCAGAGCCTTGGGACTCTCTCATGGGATCCAGAGGAAGATTGCAGACCACCGCGTTCAACCAGACTGAGACCACCACCCTCGACTGGACTGCAATCACCACTTCTGACCAGACTGCAGCAGCTCTCCCACCAGCAGGTTTATCACCTCTCCTTTGCTTTGGACTCGGGGGGTGGGCCAAGGTACACCACTTTTGTTCATACCCCAGGGTGCTGGGTTTGTACATTTGGGTTTTGTGGGTTAAAACCAATTGTCTGTCTGTATAATTGTACTTATTGCATTATTTTAATAAATTGTTATTCTGACTTATAAATCTCTCTTTTGAATTGAGTTCATTTTGCCTTGCTGGTTAACTTTTAAACCAGCACACTTGTCCCCTCCTCACGAGAGATGTTCTAGCCTATCACCTTTGTGGTCCTTCTTTGAACTGTCTCAAGTTTGTCCATGTCTGTCTTATACTGAGGAGCCCAGAACTGGACAGAGCACTCCAGAAGTGGCCTCACCAGTGCTGAGTAGAGGGGTGGGACCCACTCCCTTGATCTGTGGGTGATACTTTGCCAAATGCAGCCGAGGACATCCTCAGCCTTCTCTGCTGCGAGGGCACTCTGATTGCTCAAGTTCAACCCAGTGTCCAGCAGGACTCCAAGTCCTTTTCTACCAAGCTTCTTTTCATCTGAGTAGTCCCCAGCATATATTTGTGTATGAGGCTGTACCTCCCCAGGTGCAGGACTTTGCACTTGTTGAACTTCCTGAAGTTCCTGTTGGCCCATTTCTTCAGGCTGTTGAGGTCCCTCTGGATGGCAGCACGACCCTTTGAAATATCAGTCACTCCTCTCATTTCAGTGTCGTTTGCCAACCTGCTGAGGGTACACTCTGCCCCATCATCCAGATCATTGATGAAGATGCTAAGCAAGACTGGACCCAGCACTGACCACTGGCACACACCACTAGTCACTGGCCTCCAAATAGACTTTGTGCCACTGACCGCCACCCTCTGGGCCCCACCATTCAGTTTTCAACCCACCTCGCCAGGCACATCCAGCACAGGTATCAACAGCTTCTCTATGAGGATCTTAACAGGCCACCATGTCAAAGGCCTTTCTGAAAGCCATGTAGTTCACAGGGTGTGAAGGAGCCAAGCCTTTTGTTCACGTGAGTATTTTCACAATTTCAAATTTGTCAAACTTCTCCATGCCAAAATTCAGTGGACAGTTTGCCTTTGTTGATGGACTCTTTGCAGGGTAGCTGTGTCTGGCCCTGGCAGAAAGCACACCTTCCCAATGAGGAGAAGCCTTCAGAGCTCGTTGACTCAACCTTTCCCTGGATTTCTCTCAACCTTGGATCAGAGACTCCATGGATAGACAAGAGCAGACTTCCCAGCCCTGAGGAATGCCAGTGTTTAAAGCTGTGTAAATTCTCACTCATCTTTCATCACTGAACACTGCCTCTTGCTAAGCTATTAGAGCCACATTCACATGCCCAAGAGATTTTGTGAGTGATTAATAACAAAGGGATGATTGTTATTTAATTACAGCCAAGAGTATTAGGGAAAGTTATTATACAGTGACTGCACCTGCAGAACAGAATTCTCAGTATAGATCCTTTACATGGCTGGAGCCATATTAGTAAATACACTGTGGGCGTAATGACTCTAAGGAATCTTATGAAAGAATTAATTAATAAATGTTGAAGTGGGTTTGATAAAGGAAGTGATCACATGGGTGAGATCTATATACAAGTGGGTATAAATAACTTAGTACTGACTTTGTTGAAATCCATTTGTCTTCCATCCAACTGCTTTCGAATAATATCCCTCAAGGTAAGCCTTTCTTGACGTACTCTATAACACGGGAATCAGGAGGAAAATGATGTAGAATAATCTGTTTGTGACTGTGGAATTGTAGACTAAAGAGTAGGTAAGAAATTTGGGATAGTAGACTATAAATATTTAGAGCTGTTAGATTTATAACCTCACTTCCTGATGAAATATTACAAGATTTTATAACAGAAATTAATGCAATATTTGAACTTAGAAAAGCAAATAATCATCAGGAGGTACATATTTGAAAACTGATATATAAATATTCATTTATTTGTCTGTAAAAAGCTCCATGCCTGACTTACTTGGAAAATCATTCTAAATTTAGAGTAACCTGTGACTGTAGTTAAAAAATAATCTATTACCTTCCATTTAATGAATATCAATGCAAGACTTTTAGCTTCAGAAGAATTCTTTACACATTTCTGTAAGGTCAAGCACAGCCAGAACTTGAAGATCTCCAAGCATCATGTCTATCATTAGGAAAATTTTTGATACATTAGATCAGTCTCAACACAGGTTAGAATAAATGTTTGACTACAAAGTGGGAGAGATTTTTGTGATATGAAACAAACTCATATAATGAATTGAAGATTAACTGGAGTTAATAGAAGTAATCCCAGAATATCTTTTCATTTACACAGTGTTTCATGATATCTGCATTTAAACATGCAAAGAATTGTTTAAACATCCTGTTAGATCAAGGAAAATGTGAAAACTGCAAACCAAACGAATTTTCAATTGCATCATTTTATTGCTAAATTGCACTTTCACAGAGTCTGTTGACTCACTTAAAACAACACCAAAATAAATATTTTCAGTCAGATTTGTAGAGGACTTCGGTAGAAAAAGGATACATAAATATCATCGTTTCTGTAATATGTGCATTTGCTATGATAAGGGTAAAAAATTAATTGTATCAAGCAGAAATACATTCAGGCTACAAAAGAATGATTTTCTAAGCTAATGTCTTCCCACTTACAGAGTCAAGAGATAACATTCTGCCTAATATTTTACTTAACTCACCAGGCACACCAGTCTGCTGTGTGGCTTTTTTTCTTGCCTCTGGATTAAACAAAAAATGATTGTAATTCTGCTGGTGTCTATGTCCCTGATGGTGTACAGTGGTAAGTGGCAATGTATTTTTATCATTATTTGACATTATGTCAAAATACTATTTTAAGTATGAGCATTTTGAAACAATCCTTTAGAAACATGCCTTCTCTCCCCTCAAATTTGGATGTTGGTGTTCAACATCCAAATGCACTTAAATAGGTTTATTTATGAAGTACTTATAAAAATATTTTTCTCAGGACATCTAGTGAAGCAAGAAATATTTAGTGGGGTTAAAAATATAACCAAAAAATTGTTACTTCCCTTTGCTAGCACTTGGTCTATTTAAATCTTTTGGACTCCAAAAATTGCAGGTTACATATACAGAGATTCTACTCATTAAGTACATGTGTATTGTCTTAATTCTCCAAACTACTCAGTGCATCCTGAAATATAACCCGTGTTCACATAAAGCTCCTCTTTCAAGTTTTACTATGAATAGGATT